TGAGAACTGGTACTTTTTTACCTTTTAAAAAAGTAGGAGTCTTTTCACGGACATAGAAAACAAACCATGGTTACCAAAGGGGAAAGGGTGGGGAGGAATAAATTAGTAGTTGCGGATTAACAGACACACATCACTATATATAAAATAGATAAACAACAAGGACCTACTGTATAGCACAGGGAATTGTCAATTTCCTGTAATACGATGGTAAAGACTCTGAAAAGAAAATATATATGTGTATGCATATGTATAACTGAATCACTTTGCTGTACATCTGACACTAACGTAAATCAACTACACTTCAGTAAAAATTTTTTTAAAGTAGGAGTCTTTTTAATCTTTTATTGAGGTATGGTTGATGCACAATATTATGTAAATTACAGATGTGCAACAGTGATTCACAATTTTTAAAGGTTATGCTTCATTTATAGTTATTATAAAGTATTGGCTGTGTTCCCCATGTTGTACAATGTATCTTTGTAGCTAATTTTATACCTAGTAGTTGGTACCTCTTAATTTCCTACCCCTATATTGCCCCTCCCACCTCCCCTCTCCCCACTGGTAACCACTAGTTTGTTCTCTACATCTGTGAGTAACTTTTTTGTTATGTTCACTAGTTTGGTGTTTTTCAGATTCCACATAAAAATGATACCATACAGCATTTGTCTTTAACTATTTCATTTAGCACAATACCCTCCAAGTCCATCCATGTTGTTGCAGATGGCAGTATTTCATCCTTTTTATGGCTGAGTAGTATTCTATTGTATATGTATACCATATCTTCTTTATCCATTCATCTGTTTTTCCCCCTTGCTATTTTTTAATTTTATTTTTTGTGATGCCATTATAAATGATGTTGATAGCAAACTTTTTTTTAATTTTTAAATTTTTTATACAATCTTAAAGGTTGCTTTCTACTTAAAGTTACTACAAAATATTGGCTGTATTCCCTGTGTTGTACAATACATCCTTGAGCCTGTCTTACACCCACTAGTTTGTACCTCCCCCTCCCCCACCCCTGTATTGCCCACCTGCATTGGTAGCCACTACTTTTGTTTTCTGTAGCTGTTAGTCTGTTTCTTTTTTGTTGTATTTACTAGTTTGCTATATATTTTTTAGATTCCACATATAAGTGATAATCATACAGTATTTGTCTTTCTCTGATTTATTTCACTTAGCATAATGCCTCCAAGTCCATCCGTGTTGCTGCAAATGGCAAAATTTCATCCCTTTTTATGACTAATACTCCACTGTACATACACACCACGTCTTCTTTATCTGTTCATCTGTTGATGGACACTTAGATTGTTTACATATCTTGGCTGTTGTAAATAATGCTGCTGTGAACATTGGGGTGCATGTATTTTTTTGAATTAATGTGCTTGCTTTTTTTCAGATTATGTACCCATGAGTGGTCATATGGTAGTCCTGTTTTTAGTTTTTTAAGGAACCTCCATACTGTCGTCCATAGTGGCTGCACCAATTTACATTCCCACTAACGGTGTAGGAGGGTTCCCTTTTCTCCACAGCCTCGCCAATATTTGTTATTTGTGTTCTTTTTGATGAAAACTGTTCTGCCAGAAGTGAGATGGTATCTCACTGTGGTTTTGATTTGCATTTCCCTGATGATTAGCAGTGTTGAGCATCTTTTCCATGTGCCTGTTGACCATCTGCATTTCCTCTTTGAAAAAATGTCTATTTAGTTCTTCTACCCATTTATTAATCGGGTTGTTTGGTTTTTTTGACGTTGAGTTATACGCGCTGTTTATTTATGTTGGATGTTAACCCCTTAACCTGTCATACCACTTGCAAATATTTTCTCTCAGTCCATAGGTTGTCTTTTCATTTTGTTTATGGTTTCCTTTGCTGTACAAAAGCTTTTAAGTTTATTTAGGTCCCATTTGTTTATTTTTGCTTTCATTTTCTTTGATTTACGAGACGGATCTGGAAAAATACTGCTGCAATTTATGTCAAAGAGCGTTGTGCCTGTGTTTTCCTCCAAGAGTTTTATGGTTTCTAGTCTTACATTGAGGTCTTTAAACCATTTTGACTTTAGTTTTGTGTATGGTGTTAGTAATTTCATTCTTTTACATGTAGGTGTCCAGTTTTCCCAGGACCACTGTCTTTTCTCCATTGTGTATTCTTGCCTCCTTTGTCATAGATTAATTGACCACAACTTTGTGGGTTTATTTCTGGGCCCCCTCTTCTGTTCCATTGATCTGTGTGTCCATTTTTGTGCCAGTACTAGACTGTTTTGATTACTGTAGCTTTGTCATACAGTGTGAAGTCAGGGAGCATGATTTAAAAAAAAAAAAAAAGGAGTCTTTTTAAAAGGACCATAGGGGAAAAAGCATATCTGTGCTGGAGAGCATTCCTTAATTACCTTCAGTTGATGAATCAGGAACACAGATGACAAACCTTGCATCTCTCAGGTACACATACATGCGTAACTCCCTTGGAGAATTTGCATTTGACCTTTAATGTCTATATTCAGATGGGAAGCACTATGGTGTAATAAGTGAAACATACACAAAAGTAAGTGTGTGGTATAATCTAAATAATGTATTAATATACATGAGCAAAAAAAGACCAGAAGAAAGTAAGATGAAGAAATTATGAAGTGACATTAATCAGGAAGAAACACAAAACGTGGCAAATGAGCCACACAAGTAATCAAAAAATCAAACTGTGATATCATTTTATACCTATTAATGAACTTTTTAAAAGTATTTTTTCTGATGATAAAAGTAATATAATCTGTTATACTGGGAATTTGGAAAATACAGCAAAACTTGAAAATAAAAATCACCCATAATTCCTCCAGCCAGAGTTTAATACAGATACTATTTTAATATATTTCTCTAGTTTTTTTTCCCTACACACACAGAGACAAATTTGTATACTGCTGTTTTCACCTACAAGATACACAAAAATTTTACAAACTATTAAATATCTGTGCTATCGTTAATTACGAACAACCTGAATGTCCCTCAGTAGAAGAATCCGTTTAAATGATTACATATTAACTCCATGTAATATGCAGCCGTTAAAAATAGTAATAAAAGAAATATAACTTCAAAAGAAAATCTACAGTCTGTTCAATTTTTAAAAAGCCATACATAAAACGGGGCGTGCTGTGGTTTGAGCTGCTTCTTTGCTTAATAGTTGTCTTCTTGAACCCTGCCTGAAATTCCTGCGCGCCCTTCCTCTCAGTTCTGTGCACCGCTCTGAGAAGCCTGCTTCCCTTCCGTTCTGCCAGCGTGCTGACTGGCCCAGGTGCGCCCTTTGCCCTGGCGCCTGCTGCTGCGGTTACAGGCAGGACTGTATTCTTCCACCCTGGCATCCCTAGCCAGTAGCATTCTGTGCCTGGCGGGGAACGCAGTATATATTAGGACCGATTTGCAGTGCAGAACTGAGGTTTTACAAGATATGCAAAGAAAAAAAATCATTCCCAGTTTCCAGTAAAACTTACCTAATGAGAAACAATACAAATAGGATAGTTAAATATAAACCCTTGGAAGCTGCAAGGGGAGAAAAGTCCTCAAGAACAAGTTATAATAAGGTGCTAACGAGGGAAAATAATACCTGTGGTGCAAGTGCACGTTCTGTACTCATTTAATCAAGTGCCGAAATAAATATTGCTTCCAGAACAAGTGTTCTTCTTCTGCAACATGAAGTTCTGTAGCTTGATACCCTGTATTGCGGTATTGATAACTGGGAATGGAGTTCTGCTTACAAGCAGTTGTAATTCCAGAGTGTTCTTTTTTATACCATGTCAGTATAACTATTTTACTCATTGGCATTTAATAATATTGTTTTAGAATATTAACATATCTTCTCCAGAGCTCCCCATACAGTGCCCAGGACCTTACAGACACCCCACAATGCTTCTGGAATTTGAATTCCCATGTGAAGAGAATATATGGGTGCTAGATCACTTTAAAGGGAGCTTAGTGTATTAAAATAAATTTATGACTACAGTATTATTAAATAGCAAAAAGATCTGTTTAGTTATTTTTTATGAGTTTGTTTTTTTTCCTCCCTTGGTCAGAGGCCTGGGTTTTCTCTTCAGTTAGAGGCCCCATGTATACAACATACATTTCAGCTAAGAAAAGATGTCATCAAAGAAGAAAAACAATTTTTTTCTTAAATGTTATATAATGAAATAGAATTTAGCAGTGCTTTGACTGTATTTATACAACAGCTTGTACACAAGTACATTTTTGTGTACTTAAAATAAATTTTAATGTCTTTAAAAACATACAGGGATTGAGCACATTATTTCCCCTTTTGTACTGAAGTACAGTTGGTGTCAAGTTTAAATTATAAAGAAGAAAGCTAAGAAATAAAGTGGCTTTTTTCAAATTACATATCAATTCAGTTTATCTGTTAAGATCTTAATGATGTAATGGGAGGATTTTTTTTTAACCAAATAGTCATGTTTCTTGTATGGTCAAAACCACCTTTGTTCAAGTTTCTGTCCTTTATGGAAATCAACTAATCCTTTATGCTTTTCGTAATAAAAAATTCTAAAACAACCTTTTACGTTAGTGGTTCTTAATCTTTTTTGCATCAAAGAATCCTACATAAATTAAATATTCTCTCTCCAGGAAAAATAAACGTACATGTATGTAAAATTTTACATATCATTAGTAGCCAGTGTTTCCCCTGAATCCAACCCCTTAGGTTATGAACCTCATCATTATATTATGCATACATTTTAATATTATGTGTATATTGCTATATATGTTGTGAATGCAGTATATTGTATGCTTTTAGAAGTGTCAGGGAATCTCATCCTGAAGCAAATTGTCTGTAAAGCTCTTCCACAAAACTGTAGCAGAGTTGTTGCATATTTCTATTGCATTATTGGCACATAAATCTGAGGTGTTTTTCCTGAATTGTTTCAAATATTTGCTGTATATCTATATTTTTCTCTCAGTCTTATTTTTCTGACAATTGTTTCTTGACTAAGAACAGATTTTCTTTTCTTACCCTAGATTCTGAGGAGGCTCGGTCTGTCAATCCTTCCAGTGTTGATGAAAATATTGACTCTGAGACAGAGAAAGACTCTCTCATTTCTGAAAGTAAACAGATAATTCCCAGTAAAGCACCTCTTCCATCTGCCCTTGATGAGTATGAGTTCAAAGATGACGATGATGAAGAAATAAATAAAATGATTGATGATAGGCATATTCTTAGGAAAGAGCTACGAAAAGACAATGAATCTGAAGTAGAAAAGAATAGTTTATTTACAAAACAGGAAAAGGCCTTCTATCCTAAATCATTTAAAACTAAAAAACAAAAGCCATCTAGGGTTTTGTATTCAAGTTCTGAAAGTTCAGATGAAGAAATTCTTCAGAACAAAAAGTGTCCTGTTCCATGTTCTGTCCCTGAAACATCCAATTCTGATACACAAACCAAAAAGGAGTATGGAGTTTCAAATGAACACAAACAGAAAGGCAAAGTGAAAAGAAAATTAAAGAACCAGAACAAAAATAAAGAGAACCAAGAGCTGAAGCAAGAAAAAGAGGGGAAAGAAAATACCAGAGTAACAAACTTGACGGTTAATCCTGCCCTAGATTGTTCAGAAAAGACCAGGGAGGAGGGGAATTTTAGGAAATCTTTTAGCCCAAAAGATGATACTTCATTACATTTGTTTCATATTTCTACCAGCAAGTCTCCCAAACATGCTTGTGGACTAAGTGAAAAGCAGTCAACACCACTAAAACAAGAACATTCTAAGGCATGTTTATCACCAGGAAGTTCGGAAATGTCATTGCAGTCTGACCTTGTTCGATATGATAATACAGAATCTGAATTTTTGCCAGAAAGTTCAAGTGTAAAATCTTGTAAGCATAAGGAAAAAAATAAACATCAGAAAGATTTCCACTTAGAATTTGGTGAAAAGTCAAATGCCAAAATAAAGGATGAAGATCATAGTCCAACATTTGAAAATTCAGATTGCACACTGAAAAAAATGGATAAAGAGGGTAAAACATTAAAAAAGCATAAATTGAAACATAAAGAGAGAGAAAAAGAAAAGCATAAAAAAGAAATTGAAGGTGAAAAGGAAAAGTACAAAAATAGGGATGGTACTAAAGAGCTTCAGCGGAGTGTGGAATTTGATAGAGAATTTTGGAAAGAGAATTTTTTTAAAAGTGATGAAACTGAAGATCTGTTTTTAAATATGGAACATGAAGCCTTAACGTTAGAAAAAAAATCAAAGTTGGAAAAAAACATAAAAGATGATAAATCAACCAAGGAAAAGCATGCCGCAAAAGAGAGGAGTTTTAAAGAAGAACGAGAAAAAATTAAAAGTGAGAAATCTTTTAGGGAGGAAAAAGTAAAAGATTTAAAAGAAGAGAGAGAGAATGCACCTACAGATAAAGAAACAGAATTCAGTTCTTTAGGTGTAAGTGCCAGTGAAGAATCTGTAGGGTTACATTCAGTGGAAAAGGAAATAGAAATTGAAAAACAAGAAAAGCATATAAAAGAAAGTAGGGAAAAATCTGAGAAACGATTTCAGACTAAAGAAAAGGATGCTGAGAAGGCTGAAAGAAAAAATTCTGAAAAAGAGAAGAAGATAAAACATGAGCATAAGTCAGAGAAAGACAGATTAGATCTTAGTGAATGTGTCGACAGAATAAAAGAAAAAGACAGGCTGTATTCACACCACACAGAAAAATGCCATAAAGAAGGTGAGAAGGTAAAAAACATTATTACCATTAAGAAAACTGATGACAGAGAGAAAAGTAGAGAAAAAATGGACAGAAAACATGACAAAGAAAAACCTGAAAAAGAGAGACATCTAGCCGAGAGCAAGGAGAAACACTCAATGGAAAAAAAAACCAAACAGTCAGATATTACTGACTATGCTAAGTCAGAGAAAAGCAAAAATAAAGAAAAAGACAGGGATGTAGATAAAAAGGAAAAATCCAGAGATAGTGTGAATATAACTAACTTCAGACACTTCCAGGAAGAGAAGAAGTCAACTATAGCAGACGGTAATAAAGCGCATGAAAAAACTTTACCCCTTAAAGAGAAATCTAGAGATGAGCCTTTGAAAACTCCTGATGGAAAAGAGAAAGATAAAAAGGATAAAGATATAGATAGATACAAAGAGCGAGACAAACATAAGGATAAAATTCAACTAAGTAGTGCACTCAGACTGAAATCTGAAGCAGAGAAGCCTAAACCTAAGTCACCACCAGCATCAAAAGATGCTCGACCCAGAGAAAAGAGGCTGGTGAATGACGACTTAATGCAGACAAGCTTTGAACGAATGCTGAGTCTGAAAGACCTGGAGATAGAGCAGTGGCACAGAAAACACAAGGAAAAAATTAAGCAGAAAGAAAAGGAACGGTTGAGAAACCGTAACTGTTTAGAACTTAAGGTAAAAGATAAAGAAAAACAAAGCATGCACTAGCTGAGTCCAAAAATAAAGAACTTACCAGGTCGAAGAGTTCAGAGTTGACTGATGCTTCTACCAAGGAGAAGCAGTCTAAAGATGCTGTAAGTAACAGATCACAGTCTGTCGACACCAAAAATACAGTGAATTTAGGGAAGTCACCCTTCATTTCAGATAGTAGCTTAAATAGATCTCCTAGGTCAGAAAGTGAAAAGCCCGGTCTCAGCTCCAGGTCTGTGTCCATGATTTCAGTTGCCAGCTCAGAAGATTCCTGCCATACTACCGTGACAACACCAAGGCCACCAGTTGAGTATGACTCAGACTTTATGTTGGAGGGTTCAGATTCCCAAATGTCCTTTTCCCAGTCACCATTTTTGCCAGTTGCCAAATCTCCGGCCCTTCATGAGAGGGAGCCAGACAGCCTGGCTGAGCTGCCAGAGCGGGTTAAAGCACCACATACAAGCCGGCTTCCAGCATCCCACCTCCGCTCATCCTCTGCAGAGGACGTTAAACTCGTTCTAAGTGAGGGGAGACCAGCTGTGGAAGTTCGAAGATGTAGCATGCCATCTGTTATTTGTGAACATACAAAACAATTCCAAACAATATCAGAAGAAAGCAACCAAGACGGCTTAGCTGTGCCAAGAGTTACTTGTCCTTCTCCCCAAACTGAGGTGTCCTCACCTGTGCCTGAACGAGAACTTTCAAATGTGTCTAACGTGCATTCCAGCTTTGCGGCCTCTCCAACTAGATCTGTAAACAGCAAATACACTTCAGCGGATGTAAATGTTGTCAAGAGTACTGCTCCAGTGGGCCCTTTGACGGACAGTCCTGTGCATTTAGAGCCATCTAATCAGGTTGATGTAATTCAAAATAAATCATGGGAGATAGCTGTTGAGAGACTGGAGTCGTTAAGCACCAGTGACTTTATCTGCCCAAGTTCTCGTATGCCTGATCAAGATTCTTCTGTTCAGGGTTTTTGTAATTCTGAAAACAAAATATTGAAAGAACAAAATACTGACTTTTTATCCCTGCATCAGACTGAATTGCCAGGAAACACTTGTGCTCAGGACCCAGCGTCCTTTCTGCCTTCCCAGCAGCCTTGCTCTTTTCACAGCCAATCACTTTCAGATGCTGAATCTATTTCTAAACATCTGTCTTTGTCATATGTTGCCAATCAAGAGCCAGGTATTTTACAACAGAAAAATGCTATTCAGATTATCAGTTCTGTTTTAGATACCGATAATGAACCTACAAAAGATACGGAGGGTACTTTTGTCCTGACAGATGTTCAGAAGACAGACGCCTTTGTCTCAGTGTGCCCTGAAAGCACTGTTCAAGAAGCATCACCAAATTTTGAGAAAGCTAACACTTTGCCTGTATTACCATCAGAAAGGGACTTTAATGGAAGTGACGCCTCTTCCCAGCCAAATACACATTATGCACTTAGCAAACTAATGTACAAGTCTTCCGGTGACCACGAGGCTGAAAATAGCACTTCTGACATTCAGGTCGTTTCACATGAAAAAGAAGGCAAACTGGAGAGTTCAGTTCTGACTCACTTGAATGATAAGTGTGATTCTGATTTATGTGACATGAATGCAGGGATGCCAAAAGGAAATCTTAATGAACAAAATAATCCAAAACACTGTCCTGAAGGTGAGAAGTGTTTGCTTTCCATCGAAGACGAAGAGTCACAACAAAGCACTTTATCAAGTCTGGAGAACCATTCACAACAATCAGCTCCCCCAGAAATGCATAAATACAGTCACTTAGTTAAAGTGGAATTGGAAGAAAATGCTGAAGATGATAAAACTGAAAACCAGATCCCTCCAAGGATGACTAGGAACAAAACAAATACGACAGCAAACCCAAGCAAACAGGTTCTGGCTGGCTGCGCGCTGTTAGCAGAAAAAGACGGGGAGTCTTCCTCCCCTCGAGGAAGAATCAGGTTAACCGAGGACGACGACCCTCAGATCCACCACCCTCGGAAAAGGAAGGTGTCGCGTGTGCCGCAGCCTGTGCAGGTGAGCCCGTCCCTGCTGCAGGCCAAGGAGAAGACGCAGCAGTCGCTGGCGGCGCTCGTGGACTCGCTGAAGCTCGACGAGATCCAGCCGTACAGTTCAGAGAGAGCAAATCCGTATTTTGAATATCTGCACATACGGAAGAAAATTGAAGAAAAGCGCAAGCTGTTGTGTAGTGTTATCCCTCAAGCACCTCAGTATTATGATGAGTATGTGACGTTCAATGGATCGTATCTGCTGGATGGGAACCCCTTAAGCAAGATCTGCATCCCCACAGTAAGTAGCGCCGCGCGGCGCGCGCCTGCGCTTCAGCGGAAGCGTGACGCACGTCGCACGCGTAGTTCAGTCTTCTAGGAGCCGCGTTTTAAAAAGTAAAAGGAAACGGGAAATTAATATTAATACTGTATTTAACCCAGTGTATCCAGAATTTTATTTCAAAATATAAACAGTGTAGAGAAGTTATTGATGGGACATTCTGTAATTTTTTTGTACTAAGAATTTGAAACCCGCTGGGCTTTCAAGTTGAAACTCGCCACATGTCAGTGCCCAGTAGCCACGTGTAGCCGGGGCTACCTTACTGAACAGCACTGATGCACAGTATTTTTTCTCTTACCTGTTTTTCCTTTCGTCCCAAAGCAGTTGTGTTTTCACTTCTGTGAAGGGTAATTCCACCACCCGTGTGCGCTTTTGATCCCAGTCTCTGCAGTGTTCTCTGGAACCTTCCTCTATTAAAACACTTCTCGCTAGTACACTTTCTAACTTTCTCTCTCTAGGGCCCTTCTCCCCCCACTCCTTTCATCCTGGGGAGAACGCGGTTCTCCCTGGACTGTGCCAGCCTGCCGGCCGCCCCCTCTGGCTGCCACGCCCTTGGAGGGCGGTCTGTGCCCGATGTTTTCCCTGCGGCACGTGCTGTTCGCCCCTTCACCATCGGGTGCCCTGGCAGTCGTCACCAGTGAGCTCGAATTGCCTGGTTCATTGGCCTCTTTTTCTTTCTACTTGGCCTCTGTCACATTTGACACTGTGACCATCTCGTTCTTCATAAAATTTTCCCCTCCCTGGTCTTTCCCGAGGATGCACTCTTCTGGTTCTCCTGCCTCACTAACTAATCTCTTTCTATCTTTTAATGACTCCGCTACGCACCTCTGAAACATCAGCGTTCTCTAGGAGTTAATTCGTCTTTTGGTCCCCGTGGTCCCGTCTGTCCCTATGGTTTCAGCAGTCTTCCGTGTGCCAGGTAGTCCCTCACCATTCTCTCTAGCCACAGCATCCCTGCTGACCTCCAGAGTCACATACCAGTGCTTCCTGGGCATCAGTCACTGCATGAGCTCAGACACCTCTCACCGGTTTGGTTCCTCAGGAAGGTTCCCCAGGACTCTGAGATTGTGTGCAAGAGGTTTGTCCCTGAGCGCCGCCAGGAGCAGTGCCTATAAGTGCGTGAGGGGAGCGGAGTCGGGCAGAGCAAGAAGTTGGACTGAAACGCAGGTGCAGCAGTGACCTCAGTGGAAGCTGCTGGAGCTCTGGAGTGGGATGGCCCCTCCGCTAGGTGGCCTCCACTCGGGGGAGGGGACCTGGGGGCACACTAGCTCTCTCCCGTGAAACAGAGATCACAGAGAGTAACTCCAGGGAGAGCTGTGGGCCACCTCGCTCCTCGTGCCTGACGGGAGAGTCTGACCATGCACCATGGCATCCTCTCTAACCTCACACTTCAACAGGCCCAAGGGGATGATTTATCCCTCACTCCCTTAAAAACAAACCTCCATTCATTAGTGAGGACAGCAAAGTAGAAACCTGTCAGTCCCCAAGCTCTAAACATGCTACCTTAGCACGCCTTCCAGAATCTACCTCGGCACAGCCTTGGTTTCGGGCCCTCATCATTACCTCTCACTTTCAGCTTTGCAGCAGTTTTTCACTACTGTTTCCTCCCAGTTTCCTTCTGCTGGACCATTCTCTTTTGTTGTTAAATTTATGTCCCTTTAAGAACAATGGAAAGCTATTTCCCTCTTTAAGTATCTCAGCTGTGATTGGCTGGCTTCCCATTGCCGGCAGCATGAACCCCACACCTCAGCCTAGTCCGTTTCACAGTCTGCCCCGTCTGCCCCTCTTGCTTCAGCCCCTCACACTCGTCCAGATCACCCGGTAGTTCAGCAGGCGAACTCTTCTGGGGTTCTTTGGCTGTACCGCCCCTCTGCCTGCAGCGTTGTTCTCACCAGGCCCCCTTTCTCCTCCATCCTCTGTGCACAGTCCTGTCGAAGCAGAATTGCTTGTGTCTTCCTTATACCTCCCCTCCGACGACTTGGTTAACTGTCCACGTGGCTGCTCTGCCTCTGAGCTGTAATCTGAGTAAGGGCTAGAACACTGCTGTCTCTTGTGGAAGGAGTCCTGCATCTGGGTCAGCCCTGCGTGCGCTGCTTGTTTCCATAACTGTGTTTCTAGCTGCTTCAGGACCTCTCCTGACCGTCCCACGATATCCTTAGAATCATTGTGTCCAATACCATAGCCGTTTGTCTTCCTCACTAGTGCTGTTTTTGCTCTCTGTTTCAGACCACCGTGTCTGCTGTCTCATCTCAGGCTGGGAACCCAGAACTCAGCCTTGCCCCTGGTCTTCTCGTCACAGCAGCCACTAAGCGGTGTAAATGCGTTTGTTGTTCTTCCAGATTCTTTCAGCAAAATAATTTGTTAATGATTCAAAGAATACAAAGCTAGTAATTTCCTTGTTTCCTTTATTTCTCCTTAAGGGGTAAGAACTTTGAGCTGAACTATGTTACATCTTAGGCTTGAAGTATGGATAAAACTAAAAAGAACACGTTTAAATTGGAAGTTCGTACAAACTGTTTCACTAAAAGCAATCTCTCATAAGCCATGGTAGCTTGCCCTTTTAGCACAGTCTGCCTGTTGATCCTGTCGCTGTGTGTGTGTGTGCGCGTGTGGTCAGCATGACCCACACTTGTGTGGATGCTCTGCACGCCCATCTTGACTGTCACCTTCACGTATTCCTGCAAAGATGAGGTAGTACGGGTTCTGGGGACGTAACTTTAATTACGTTAGAGTTTAATTGTAATTGAGTACCGTCTCAGAAGGGGCTGTAAGCAGAGCTGAGAATTATTTCTGGATGTAGTGGAGAATTTTTTCCTTGTTTTGAATGACAGTTACTAAAGTAGAGAAACAACGTAAGACAGCAGGAAGACTAGACGTTCCCAGGGAGCACACGTGAGTTTGTCCAGATCTCACCGCACCCAGCTGTGTGTCCTGCGTTTTCACATCTGTCCTTGGAAAACGGTAACACCTGCCCTACCTCGGAGCAGGTTGGACCGTGTCAGCCGTAGCCATTGACACTGTGACAACCCTGTGCAGCTGTAAGGGGCCACCATGATTTTATCCAGCTCCAAATGACTCTGAGGGCATATTCACTAGCGCTAGTATGCAGACCTGCCGCCTTTGCCCATAAAAGGTTGTGCTCTTGAGTTTATTGGACTGGACTTGTTTATTTGAAACTTAGTTTCAAAAAATAAAAAAAGATCCCAATAATAAAAATCACTTAGTTACAGTACTTTTGTATTTTTCAATGTTTTATCCATTGGTGTCCTCGCAGTCAGCTAAGTGCCACTTCGTCGAAGTGCTCTCGTCACAATTACGTGATCTGGGTATAGAGCCCACTGGAAGTGTGGTGAGATGTCTCCGGAGTCCGCTTCGTGTTTATTCTTCTGTAACTTGTGTTTCTCATAATTAACTGTAACGCTGCCATTTTTCCAGAGGAAATAAAGGGAAGAAAAATAAAGCAATGTCAAGTTCCTGAAAATCAAATAAACAGGGAAAAAAAAGAAAAAGACTTGACAAGCTGGTGTCTGCCAACAGTCAAGAACCCCCACCAAGGGGTCCGGGAGTGGGTGATGAGAAGAAGGGCACCCATGAAGGTTATCGGGGGTTTTCACTCTGGAGACCCATGAGACTCAGTAAAAGACAGACTCTCCAGGCCTGATTTGTTAGAGGAAGATGAGGGAAACAGTGAAGGGCAGGTTTCCTCAGAAAGTCTCCTCCATCTGCTCTTTTGTGATTTTACCGCTTTTCTATGCATTGATGTATGTTGAGAATTCCAAGATTTAGACATTCCACCCAAACCCCTCTCCTCAGCTTTTTTGGTAACTCACGCCTCCACAGATTCAACATTTCAGCACTGAACTTGCCTCTCCCCACTTCCCCTCCTGTGCTCTGTTACTGGCCCCCCGGCCGTCATGCTAAAGGATTGAACAAGCCCTCGGGGCCCCTCTTTCTTACCCGGAATCATTGAGCCATCCGCATTTTCAGACCCCTGGTCTCTTCCACTCTTTTGTGCATCTCACACCACTGGAGCAGGTGACCTGCTCCCCTAGTTCCTTGCCTGCAGTCTTGTCCCCCTGATGTCTGTTCTCCAAACAGCAGTGGGCTGTTAAGACCTTTTAGTGGTTCCCCATCACATACAGATTTTACCCTGATGTGTTAGCATAATGGCTGTTCCACAGTGTATTAATTAAATACCTTCCTCGGGGCGGGGAGAGACGGGGGTCTTTCATGATCAAATAAGTTTGGGAAACACCATTAATTTAAACATACATAGATTTCTTCACTGTAGGACCTCTTAGAACTATTAAAATTTAATTTGCTAATTATGAGTTGCCTAAATAAGCACATGAGTGCAGTTTTTCCCAAACTTCCTTATTCTTGGAACCATTTCCTGTATGTCATCTCTGTGGCTCAGTGTTCCGTGCATCATACTTTAAGGAAAGCTGTTTTCCAGGCTAGACAACAGCCTTTATTATTTCGCCCGTGCTATCCCTGCGTCCTCACATCCCACCACTCTTTCCTTCAACTTTGATGTCCAGGAGTTCGGGACTGCTCATGGCTGCCTCCAGACGCCAGCCTGTTTCTTTGTTCTCATGCAGAGGACCATGCTCTCCTTTCCTGTGTGTGGGATTGTCTCCCTCCTTGTTTCCCTTTTTTTTCCTCTGCAGCTTGTTTCTCTTAACTCTTTACTCTGGCCCTTCCTTGAAGATGCAGCCCTGGCATTCCACCCTCAAAGAAGTCTTCTCTGACACCCTGTCTCAAAGGAGTAGATATTTCCCTCAGTTCTGCTCAAAGGATGCCTGTGTGACTTTGCAAAACTAAAATAACAGCTCCAAATGCTACTCTTACGTCTTCTTAGTAAATTTCAAAAAGCTTACAGGCACAGAAATCAAAGATGATATTGCAGTTAGAGACCTGAAAAATGATAAGCCCCACTAAGTTATGTGTATTGTAGACTTTTCTCATTGATTCAGCTGAATATTGTGATGTTATTTAACATGTTTTTCAGTCCCTCATAATTCTATAAGCTGTTTGCTGTTTATGAAGTCCCGATTAGGTCCAGGTTTGATTCTTTGGCAAGAGTGTTTCATGTAACAGTACAGGATGCACACAGCATCTGCTTGTTCCCCTTGGGGAGAGTCCACAGAGTTGTTACACTGTGCCCTTCACTCTAATATGCTGACAGGAGCTGAAAGCTGGGGCAGGGTGGGGGCTGTAGAGGGAGCACGTTCAGGGCTCACAGGCAGTTACCACCCTACGTGGATGCCCTGTATTAGCACTAGAGTGTCTGCACAGGCCGAGTCAGCTTTCTTAACCTCCATCATCTGCCAGAAAGCGCAGGCCACTGTAATGATCAGCTTAGAGGTGAGCCAACCATTAGCTTTTTGGAGTGTGGATAGCCAAAGTGAGTTATCACATGTAACATGTAACAAATCTATTAGAAGACAATTTCATCTATTTTTATAACAGACGTAATTCACTAAATGTGCAACCTCAGTGCCTTGGTGTTTGGTTTTTGTCGTGTCTACAAAAACACTTCACTTACTGTCACTCAGACTGTTCCAGTCTTTAGGACCGTTTGCTCGGGGCTTCTTGTGTTTCTGTTACTCCTTCCTCCCTGTCTGTGAACTATCACTTACTGATGCTCTAAAATGTGTCTCTCTGTGGTAAATAACTCCCTTAGTCCTCTGGTTTGCTCTTTGAAATTTGCTGTGGCCTCAGAATTAAAACGTCTTAAGTTTTTGGGAATGCTCTGCTTTGTTTCAAATAGTTGAAATTGAGAAGTAACAACCGTTACTATATTATTTAATTCAAAGAACATTAGAATTTATATTTTCATTAAGTTTTGTACTAAAAAGGTTTAATTTTATAAGAATAGCCAATTATTGTAAATAAAATTAGTATTTTTAACTCTATGTTTTTCAAAAATTAGATTACACCACCACCTTCACTGTCAGATCCACTTAAAGAGCTTTTTCGACAACAGGAAGTTGTGAGGATGAAACTACGTTTGCAACACAGTATTGAAAGGGTGAGAAATGTTTAAATTTACATTTATGCCAAAAATAACTGTATTTTAACAATAGATTATAATGGCCTGCAGATTTTTATTAGTGAATTTTCCTTATTTAGAATCATTTTGGGGAATGGTTTGATTTTATCTTGTGCTTGTACAATAAGATGGAGAATTTTCAAGCCTGTTTTAGGAAAGCTCCCATGTTACAAGTCATATTGGGTATATACTTGGTACGTAAAAATCTCTAATATTATCATTTGTTGAATTTGCAGAACTTTAGCAGTGAATTCCTCTCTGGACATTGAATTTCCAGGTTTTGGAATTGTTGCCTGCTGCCAGATACTGTAGTGCAGGATCTTACAGAGGCAATGCTCGTTGGAACTTAGAGGTCTGCCTTAGTACTCCAGTTTCCAGTGGTTAGTTTTGGCATGAAATGACAGGGCAAAATACCTGTCTCACTGTTTATAGAAATCATCAAAGTAACTTGAATTGACGAAAATAATAATGTCTTCATCTTTTAGGAGGGTCATGGACTTTCTGAAAATGTGCTCTAAGCTGTGATCCTTCTTTACAGACAAATACACGTTGTCTTACACAAACAAAACCTTGTATGATTGATTTCCTAGGTTCACCTAGATTCACCTAGAGGTTTTTAACCTTTTTTTGTCCCATGGTTTCCTGTAAAAACCTGGTAAATATAAAACCTTCCCTCAGAATAATGTTCTTAAATGAACAAAATAAATTTATAGCATTACAGAGAGAAAAACAGATAAAAGACAGAAGCACTGATACGGAACTTACAACACTGTCCATGACTCGTGTCAGTGAACAATTGTTGGCAGTAAGAAGTTAGGTCATATAACACACACCAGTAGTTGTTCGAGCCACCGGCCATGTTTGAAGTCACCTGATATATATTCATCTGTGCCTTTAACCATGTTACAGAAGCCATACTACCTTACAGACAGTGAAGAATTCTCATTTCAACTGTTCAATTAGCAAAACTTTAATTGCAAAACTGACTCATACCTTTCCGCACATTGACCAACAAACAATTGAGAATTATAAAATACTAGAAAGCAACTGAAAAGTCTGACCAGTGTGAGAACAAACAACTCTACCCTTTGGCGGCTGGATGAGCTTCCACTGTAGGACTGCATGATGGTTGACCAGCCGTATCACACAGGAGTCTGCACAGAAAAGCTACATCACGTGTCGTGTAGCAGCAGGTCCAGTAACTACTGAAAACTCAAGAAAAAATCAGTATAAAATTTTGGGGCAATACCTGCAACAGCTATAATGGGGATGGAAGATATCTGTGATTTCTGTGGGCAGCAGAGTTGCAGATACCTCTGGCATTACTGTGGTTTGCCACCTACATTCATAATTGAAAGAAATGCCAGTTGGAGATTAGCAAAAATACAATTTTCCCCCTTGAAGTTCACAGATAATCTTTGCCTAGTTCTGTCCTCTCTCTGCTTCCTGGAAGTGGGAATTTTTTTTTAACTAATAAAGAAAAGTTTTTTTTTTTTTTAACTAGTTAAAAATTTGTTCTTTAATTAGCAACGTTTGAAGGTGGGGGGGATGTCACATCAGGACTTCGAGGCAAAGGCAGAAACCCCAGACTAGTTGTTCCCAGGCTAAGGAACTCTGTTCTAGGGTCATTTTTCCCATAGAGAACGACAGCATTTGAATGTGGTGCTGAACGCAGCCAGAGCCCCGACTCCACTGCAGAAGCACCACGTGTCCTGTCCGCCTCCCCAGGAGCTAAGACGAACCCGTTCTCAGAAGACATTGTTTGATAGGCTCTGCTGTAGAAGTTCAAAGTCACAGCATTAAGAATGATGATCTCAGGTGGAATGTGTTGGCTGTCACTTCAGCAGCGTGTCTCTGTTAATTATGTTAGGGGAGGAGGTCTGACTTTAAGAAATACATTTCTTTCTCATATGGTGAGAGGGATTTTTGATTATTGCTCATTATCTCTACAACCAACTTTTTAGGAAGACTTTCTTCTAGCTGTTTTTTCTGACTATCTGATCCAGTGTTTGAATATTTGTCACAATGTCCCACCTTAAACTTGTACTTAAACTGATAAGTCATAAGTATTAGATTTATCTTCTCTCTCTTTTTTTTTTTTGAATAAAGGTAGATTTATTAAGAGAGATACATACTCCATAGACAGTGTAGGCTGTTTTAGAGGCAAGAGGAAAGCCAGGAGGTGTGGGGGTTTAAAATAAAAGTAGATACACACGCCATAGACCGAGTGCGGGCTGCCTTGGAAGGCGAGGTGGCAGGAGGCCTTAGTTCTTCTCTTCTGAGTATCATTGGTCACATGAGAATTTGCAACAGGTTAAATAAGACCACGTCTCTTTGTCTTTTCGCTAAATTATAAATACAGTGGAACGCTAGTCATGCCCATTTGGGTATAATGTGGCCTGTATCTGCTGCAGGGGAAGGATGAGTTTCTTATCAGTTGAGGGGGGAGTAGGGACCATGGCGGGGAGAAGACCAGCCACATTTGTAGTATTCTCCCGGCCCAGCCTTCCAGACGGGCCAACAGACCCTGCAGCTGGATCCCAGGAATTCACCGTCTGCTAAATGCAGACGGTTGCCTAGATCATTTCAGTAATCTTCTGATAGAGGGACTCTGCAGAATACATAATTGGAAGTTTTGGATCCCACGTAACACATTAAAGCAGGATTCCACTGTGATTGTCAGAGGTTTACAAGTACAGTTAACTTGTAACAACATGGGGGTTAGGGACCCCTTGCACAGTCAAAAGGTGGCGTGTAACTTCACAGTTGGCCCCCTGTATCCACACTTCCACATCCATGGATTTAGTCAACCATGGACCATGTAGCACTGCGTATTTACTGAAAGAAGTCTGTGTGTAAGTGGACCTGCACAAGTCAGACCCATGTTGTTCCAGGGTCAGTGTGGTTAGCATTACAGTACAGTGTGTTTGTTCCTGTGAAAATACTCATAAAAGAGCCACTTCCACCACAATGGCGTTCCACCTCAGAGTGTTAGAATGGCTGTAGCAAAAAAGACAAGTAATAACAAATGCTGGCAAGGATGTGCAAAAACTGGCACCCTACACATGGCTGGTGGGAATATAAAATGATGCAACTGCTGTTGAGAACATGTCTGCAGTTTGTGAATAAGTTAAGCATAACACTGCCACATGGCACAGCAGCTCACTCCTGGTGTTTACGCAGAAAAGTGCATTCAAACAAGAATTGAGCATGAGTGTCCACAGCAGCCTTATTCATGACAGCCCAGAGGAAGAGACAGCCCAAAAGACCATCAGCTGATGAGTGGATAAGTAAAATGTGGTGTATTCATACAATGGAATATTACTCAGCCATAAAAAGGAATGAAATACTGATACCTGCTACATACAGCACAGATGAACCTTGAAAACACGTGACGAGAAGAAGCCAGTCACAAAAGACCACGTACTTTATGATTCCATTTATGTGAAATGTTGATAATAGGTCAGTCCGTAGAGACAGAAAGTAGAGTAGTGTTGTCAGGGGAAGAGGAGAATGGAGAGTGACTAATGGGTGTGGGGCTTCTGTTTGGAGTGACAGAAATGTTCTGGAATTAGTAGTGATGGTTGAAATCTTGGTAAGTATAATTGGTCCTCTGTATCTGCAGATTCCATATCCAGGGAGTCAGCCAATCATGGATCAAAAATACTCAAGAAAAAAAATTCCAGAAAGTTCCAAAAAGCAGAACTTGAATTTGCCAAACAACAGCAGTGATTTATATAGCATTCACATTGTATTAGGTATTACAGGTAGTCTAGAGATGACTTAAAAGTATATGGGAATATGTGCATAGATTATATGCAAATATTATATAAGGGACTTGCACATCCATGGATTTTGGTGTCCACAGGGGTCCTGGAACCAATCCCCTGGAAATACTAAGGGACAACTATACTAAAAGCCGTAATTTTACACTTTATAATTTTTAAAAAGAGAGTGCCAGTTTTGAAAAGAAAATTTACTTTCAGAACGCTTGGAGTTCTCTAATTTCTCAAGCTTACTATGAAGGAAAAGCTACTCTGAGATTCTGGTTCTTGAGCACGTTAAGTAATTTTATTTCATTAGAAAAACAAGTGGTTGAAGAACTGTTGTTTTTAATTCTTCGTTCAACTAGGAAAAACTCATTGTATCCAATGAGCAGGAGGTCCTTCGAGTTCATTACAGAGCTGCAAGAACACTGGCCAATCAGACGCTGCCGTTTAGCGCGTGCACGGTCCTCCTGGACGCGGAGGTGTACAGCGTGCCGCTGGACGCCCAGGTGAGTGCGCCGAGTGCAGCCCGCGGCTCCCGCGCTGCTCCTTAGGCAGCGCACCGTGGGCCGGGCCCAGAGGGGCACGCGACTCTTTCAGACCGGACTACTTCCAGATCACCTGCCCTCTGTTTTCTAATAGCCTCTGAACATTAGGTCTGTATTAACACAGCAGATGATTGTGGAACAGGTATGTATGTGTTCAGGGTAATGTCAGTTTATAGGTAACTTGTAACTTGTCTCTGAAGTGGAGTTTAGACGTTCTGACCTTGGAATGACTGGGAAGCTGCTCGTGCAGAGGGAGGCTCAGTGTGACAGGGCTGGAGTCAGGCCAGGCTGCTGTGTGAATCTTAAGACACTGTGGGGATAAATTAACATAATTGTGAAAAACTGTAGCTGTATCTTGAAAAAAGTGTATTGCCATTTATAAATCACATGAATTCAGAACCAGACATCAGTTGTCAGAATTTTGTTGTGCCTCATAAACCAGAATGAAAATATTGGTCATAAGAATACAAAACTAAACACAGACAATGAAGGATTATCGCCGGAAAAAAAAAAAAAGACTAGGGAATGCTGTTTTAAATTAGATAATGTATAGAAACACAAAGGATTTGGAAATATTACAAAGTTACTTAGTTCTTTCTATGCTTTATTTTTGTCATCTGTAAAAAAAAAAATAAAAGAGTCCCAGATGGGTTATAAAGAAAATTTCTAACAGCTAGTGAATTTTGCCAGTAAACGTCAGAATGATCCCCAAGTTAGAGACTAAAGAGGATCAGGCCACAATCGACCTAATAGTTGAGCAGGAGGACTTGTCAACCTCTTGAGGACAACTGTGGAACCGTTACCCATCCTTGTCCAGCAGGCTTTAGAGTTTCAGTAATAAAATTTAAAATAGTCAAAACATCTTACGTGAGGACCAAGGAGGAAGTGATAACAGCTAAAAATGTGAGTGGTGTGATTGTGGGGCTGTGTGCTCCCTGGATGTCGCTTGGACAGCACTGGCGGGCGTAGCTGTAGCGTATGTTTATTGGATCCGGTGCTTCCCACGTGTCCCTGTGCTAGAACAGGGCTGTAGACACTCTTAATTCTCAAAACAGGATTAAAAGAAATGCTCTTATCCCATTTTACAGAATAGAAAATTGAAAGGGTACATAATTAGTTCGAAATTGCACAGTAAGATAGAAAGCTGACATTTGAACGTAGCCTGTCTTAAAAGAATACCAAAGTGTTAGTCCTGAAAATGATGGCAACTTCAGAGGCCTGTCTCCCACCTCAGTGCTTTTTCTCCCTGCATGTGGTGAAGTGTAACATTAAAATTAATTTTGTAATCAATTATACTTTAAGAAGAATGTCATGGGCATAATGCTTCATATGACATGCTTTTTTGAGAAACAGTTTTGACTCACAGAGAGGTAGGATTCTATTTAATTAATAATGAAACCCAGCATCCTAATAATTCGAGTAACTAATCTATCTACTTAATATGGAAACAAGTGCTTATCAAAATTTTTAAATATTCAAATTATATTTTACCCTTTTTTTGAAATATATTTCCATCATTCCTTAAAAGAATATACTATAAAAAGACATAATGGCATATATAGATTGTAAAGTGAGTTATTTATAATATCCAACTACTTTTAATGTTCTCTTTCAGTCTGATGACAGTAAAACTTCTGTGAGGGATCGCTTTAATGCAAGACAGTTCATGTCTTGGTTACAAGATGTGGATGATAAATTTGACAAACTAAAGGTATGTATGTTTACAAGTTCACTTTGGAGGCTTCCCCTCCATGAACAGAAATCGCACTGTGTTAGGGAGGAATGCTTAGGGAAGGATATGCTGGTTAGTCGTAATCTTCACTCTGCGCGCCACACTGCGGAAGATAAAAAGAAAGCCTGCCTGTTTCTCAGGTCCAGTTTAGTGTAAAAGGTGCATTGCCACAGAGAACGCAGTTTCTAATGGGGACCTTCGCATACGAGACTGGTTACGTCCCAACGTGGGAAAGAGCGGGCAGACAAGAGGAGAAGGAATATGTTTGTAAATAATTTATAAAGAAAACTACTTGGTTTGAGGTTTTGAATCATTTCAGAAATCACGTCTCCTTAGATTTTCATGATTTTTCTGATAATTTGAAATGTTACTGTTTGAAAGCACAGTTTCAAATTAGAGTCTGGGGGGTAAGTGTGCAGTTGCAGATCCAGAAATATTTGGTTTAGAGACAGAGGGAAAAACAGAAATGGATGTGTAACTCAGCTGTAAATACCCCTGGAATATCCATCTGACGCCCTCCAGAAACAGTGCATGAGATTCATTTTTAAACAAATCTAATAGAATAATCAGTTAATTTTCCTCTTCTTTTAAATAGACCTGTCTTTTAATGAGGCAACAACACGAAGCTGCAGCTTTAAATGCCGTCCAGAGATTAGAATGGCAGCTCAAACTCCAGGAACTTGACCCTGCCACCTACAAATCACTCAGCATTTATGAGATTCAGGAGTTTTACGTTCCCCTCGTTGATGTTAATGATGACTTTGAATTGACCCCCATATAGCAGCCGTTGCTTCCTGGCGGCGGTGGTAAACGGATGAGGCTCAAGAGTGTTATACTGTGGAATACTGCCTTTGACAAAAATACAATATTATGCCTTCACAATTATTAGTAGAGTTCAGCAAAAGTTGGTTATGTAGTAAACACTGTCATTTTATTAAAAATGAAAAGATGTATTTCGGATCTTAGATCCAGTTTCTAATTGAAAACTATTATTTATATTGATGAAAGGTCACTATCGCGTTAGAGCACGTTGGCAGACTGTGGTAGGTATTTAAGAAGCTGAGAACCTGCTAACGGCGCTGGAAGTTGTTAGCACTCTAAGTACAGGATAACCACTAGCATTCAAATTGCTTTCAAGTTTTATTATAATGTATCAGTAAACTAAAAGGTTCAATTCCTACCGAATAGTTTCTAATGTGGAAGAAAAACTTGGCACAGAATTTCTTCAGTTTTATTATATCTGTAAGTTAATTGTATAGCTTTCTTTTCGAAAGTTTTAATATTGTCTTCCTTTTTAATAACTTATTTTATACATATTGTGCAGATGTAAATCTTGTAATTAATGGTCAAAATATATACAAAGGGATTGGTAGTCAAAATATACAAAGAAATAATTGTAAAACTGTTCCGTCTGATGTTTTATTGGACCAAAGTGTAGTTCGTATGGAGTGTAGTGATCGTGTGTTCGGGTAGCGGAACTTTTAAATAAGGCATGCGTGTTTGAGTTAGCTTGTTTCCATCCCCACAACCACAGAGGGTGGCGTAGCCGTACTGCATGCTTCCTGTAGCTTAACTCTCCACAGCGACGCCCGAGGTAGTGTGAGGTGTTCCATGCTGGTCTCCCGGGGTAGCACTGACTTACTGTGTTGGCCATTTTATTTAGAATTAGTCATGCAAAAAAATAGCTCGTTTTTCATCTCACAGTAGAGCCTGTTCTCCTCCCCCCCAAAATGCCTTTGAATGAAAATTGTGAAATTGTAAATGTTTATTTTAATACTCAAGTATGAAAGAATCTGTGAATATATGTAAATATGTTTAATAAATTTTATTGGTCATGTTAAATCATTGTAAAACTTTTTTACATTGCTTAAATATAATGTTTTAAGCTTAATAACCTTTGCACTTTTAAAATAAACACTGAGTACTCAAATCAAAAAAATATTTGATAGTCAAAATAAGTAAAAGAAATAGGCATATTCTAATTGATGTCTGCAATGTTTATGAAAAATTGATTAATATGTTGTACATTTCTTTCCTTGTGTCAAGATGCAAAACATATAATTTTCAGAATTTTATAATTAAAATAAGATTTGGTATGCTGTTTTTAATAAAATAATTAGCAATATACTTAGACCAGTTTCTCCTATAACATGATATAAATTAAATATTCAGGAATATTTCAGATCTGAAACCTGCTGCTAAACTTATTAAATATTTTTCAAAGGAAAATTAAGATATATGTAAAATTCATCATAAGTATATGAGATAAAATTTTCAGAACTTTCCACAATACTTTTTTCAGTTATAAAATAATACTGGATGTTTTTTATTCTGATACAGAAAAATAAAAAGAATAAATGAGGAATAAAGTGATTTAAATTCAGTTTACAAGTTGAAAATCCCACCTAATGGGAAAGACAGAAGTTTTTGAGTGCAAAGGTATATATTAAGCTTAGGGATTTTTGAATTTTTATGTCAATTTATATTTTAACTCATACTGTACTTGGCATGCGCAATAAAACAGCACATGTGAAAAAGACACAGTGCAAGGACTTTATTATAAAGATTGGATGTAGTAGTCTTTAGAACTTTAGATGAAAGATTTTGGCCTTTTTTATTGGATAAACGGGGCCAAGAAAGGCAGGGTAGATTTTGAAGCACTGGTTTTGTTGAAGTTAAGTTTATTAAGGCTGGGAGCATTAAGATAATTTATAAAAGCAATACTTTTTAATATGAAAAACTTAGTGCAAATTTTGTTTATACTTTTGCCTAAAATAAAAAAAACCAGATTATTGAGCATTGAAGTCATAGAAAATATGAGAAGGGTAAGTTTATACAGCATTTTGTTCTAATGGTTCAACCAGGGAAGGCGGTGGGTGGTGGGGGTGCTGGGAAGAAAAATCACTGGCCAAACAGAACAAGCTACAGAAGAGAAAAAGCAAGCAAGCAGAAACCTGGCATTTCAGTCATCCCAGCTTTGCAGTGCTGACCTCTGTCCTCACCCTCTTCCATGGCACCTCCCATTGCTGGAGCCCGTCTGCTGCGATTCTGCTTCTGCAGAGTTCCTTTGTAAAGTGGCTCAGAGCTAATCGGACAGCTCGACCGAAAAGCGAATGCCTTCTCCGTGGGAATTGGTACTTAAGTAAGTAAGTTAAGGGCTCTTGATATTTCAAAGATGTTCTAAAGCTCTGAAATGGCTGAAAAAACTTAGAATGGCGTATATGCCTAAATGATAGAGGATTCTAAAAGAAAAATAAAGGATGACTAGTTTAATCAGTGAATTTTTTAAAAACTATTCAAATACCATGAACAAGATACTAAATTGTACCTAAGGATTTGTATTTCTTTAAATCTTGTTCTAAATCATATCTGTTTAATAAATGACTAGTTGATATTTGTGCATGTTATTTAATAAAGAGTTATATTTTTATAGAAAAAATAAGAGTGAAATGTGTGATAAGTGGTGTTTTTTTTTATTTTCCAATCCTACATGACTCTAAACCAGACACTAGTGTTCACTTGGGCAGCTAGCAAAATTGCAGGAATACTCATTTTAGGGAAACAACCTCTCAAGGAACTGGCCTTTCAAACCCAAGTCTATTCAGTAATGAGGTCTCAAAAATGAGTTTTAAGTATTAGACATGCTGCAGTCTTAGCTGCAGAAATCTCAAGCAAAGACCCCTTGAAGCTAATTTTAATAGACTTAAGAATTATAGTTATTCTAGGAGCTGAGAATGCTAAATACATACTTTTCTTTATCCAAAATAGTTATTCAAATAGTTAGCAATACTTTTTATTCTATCTCTAATACATAAAACTCCAAAATTCTATATAGAGGAAATTGATTATTTCAAATTCATAAGGTAGTTTTATCTTAATGTATTTTAAAAGAAGCATTGTCACAATTTTTAAACCTTAAAAATGAATTTTAAATAATTTCATTAGTCAAGTAACTAAAAAAAGTTAAATCACATAATTACATAGTATTAGCATTTAAACAGTGAAAAGTATATCTAGAAAGATTGGCTTTTCCAATGATTAAATGTTAATCCTATACAACATCTGCAAATAATAAAAAATTGTACTAGATGTGCAGTATCTCCATAAGAGAAAGTGGGATAGAAACTGTTTACCTAAAGATAAAGCCTTGGCTTGCTTGAGGGCCCAGTTTTCTTAGGTAGATTACACAGAGAATTTAAGATTATATATGAAGCATATTTATTTAAACTCCATTGAGTTTTTAAATGCTTATTTTTAAAAACTGTGTCATACCTAAATATCTGAGTGGCCAATTAAAAGCTCTTAAGGAAAATGTTGTTGTTGATACATAGAGTGAACATGTACAGTGTATGTCTACAGGTTAAAAACACCACCTGTGTGCCCATCACTCGGCTTAAGAGCAGTACCAGTTCTTTTAACTGTGTAATTTGTATCCAGTAGAAGTGCCCACATCTTTCTGGGAGGTCCCAGCAGATGCCTACACTGATGTTTCTGTCACCCGGGGAGTTCCCTCCTGCCCTTGCAGAGGGCTCTGTCCCAGAGGCCACCACACTGAGTCCTGTCCCAGTATTACCTGTACCTGTTTTTGAACCTCATGTACATGGGATCAGATGGTGTACACCTGCCTGCCGCCTTTAGCTTAAGGTTTTGCAGTTCATCCTGTTGTGTATATCAGTAGTCTGTTCCTCTTTATTAATGAGTGGTAGTATGTTGTACAAACTGGTTTATTTACTCTCTTGCTGGTAGGCATTTGAATTGTTGCATTTGGGGCTGTTGTGAATAAAACTGCTCTGAACACACCAGTCTCTGTGAACACCTTTTTTCAGCGCCCTTGGGCCCCTGCCTTGGGGTGCCGTCACTAGGTCCTAGAGTGTATGTGTATGTCTGACTTCATTAGAAACTGACAGGTCTCCACGGTGGTTGCACCAGATTGTACCCCTGCTGGGAACTGGGAGAGGCCCCGTCGCTCTGAATCCTCATCGGTACTTGGTGGTGTCAGTCTTCAGTCTTAGTGCTGGTGGTGGGATGTGTAGTTTTGTCTTACTGTGCTTTTAACTTGCATTTCTCTGATGACTAAAGAGGCTGAGTGTATCTTCTACTATGCTTAGTGGCGATCTGCACATCTTCCTTTGCGACATGCCCTCAGGTGCTTTGCTCATTTTCCATTGGGTTGTCTTTTCATTACTGATCATTCTGCACACGAGTCCTTTGTCAGAGGTCTGTCATGAATGTTTTCGCCTGATCTGTGGCCTGCCTTTCCATTTTTCTTCCTGACTAGTTTCCCTGCTTTTTAGTAAAGCTGTTACACTGTCATGACTTTTCAGAATATTTAGTAGATTTCGTATCACCTCCCCTCCAAAATTGTCCCCTTAAATGCAGCCATACGGATGTACAACCATAGCTTTCAGTTTCTTGGAAACACCACCTGTGTATAATTTTAGAGCCATTAGTATTTGAATGTAAGGAGCTTTAAAAATCCTTTCCTGAATTAACCTCTTCATTTTATGACACCCTTCACATGTCGTCTGGGCTGTGGAACTAGTCTCAGTGCAGTTTTTGACACTGTTTGCTTGCTTGCTTGTTACTTAAACTGTGTGTGGTGTGGATGGTCTTAAAAAAGCACGGTGTCGTCAGTGGGCCTATAGGAAGCAGGGGGCTCGTCTGAACTGTGTCCGGTGGGCGTGGTGTCCAGCTCCTCTGCTGGTTCACACTTACCTGTCCACGGACTCAACCAGCGCACATCGAGTAAGTAGCTGTGCTGTGCCGGGGACTGTGCCCCTTGACAATTCACACAGCATTTACCTGGGTCATCAGTTCTCAAACTTTGATCGCAGAACCCCTCTGAGCCCTTAAAAGTAACTGTGAGCTTTCATTTCTGTAAGCTATTGGCTGGTATTTACCACTGTTGAAATAAAAACAAATTTAAAGAATTTATTAATAAATGCATTTCATGCTTATTTTTATGAAAAACATATTTGCAAAAATAAAAATGAAAAAAACGAATTATTTTAAAGTTCTGCAAATCTCAAGATCTGGCCAAAAAGAAGAAAGCTAGAATTACCTATTTGCTTTCTGCAGTGTACCTGTAATTTGTTCTGTTTGGGTTGGATTGGGTTTGGTTTGGTTGGTTTACTTGATTTGGACTTATAAATCCGTAATAGGAAAAGGGAGTATGTTAATAGATTTTCAGATAATTGTCATTATTCTTGGATTCCACATCAAAACAGGACAAGGAGTAGTTTCTGAAAGGTAAGTTGCCTTGTGGAATCTGACTGCATCAATGAACTCTACCTAACTCTTACTACCTTGAAATCCATCGGCCTATCTTGCACGTTGAATGGGTTTTCCAGCAATGCATAGATTTTGTAACATCATGTATTGGTCATTTGAAAAATATTGATTCACTGAATTACATGATTCTTCCAAATGTTGACACAGTTCATTACACAGTCCAAACACTCAACTTGTTAATATCACCACTGATTTCATCAGAGACGTCTTTTTAAGTATGAAAGCTACGAAGCTCTTAAGTGATAGAAATTATCCAAAATTCTGGTTTTCGCTCAAAAGCCTAAACACCACTGACAACAAACACTGCCGGCTGTTTTCCTTAAAGTCACAGGCTCACTTTACTTATAGTTGAGACTAAATGCCAAAGAGCTAGATCTGAGTAACCACAGTTTGTCTCTTTTTTTCACGTAAAATTGTTGTTCCATGGAAAAGATCAGTTTGGCTAGAAACTCGGTCAAGTGCTTTTTCTCTGATTATTTTTCTTGGGTATGCTACAAAAGTATAGCACGCATTCTCCCCTTTAGTTACACAACGTTAAATAGACATGTACCCCAGGTTGAGATTTGATAAAATCACTGATCTTTACTGCTTTATTGAGAACATACTTAGGTGAAGTTGGCTTCTTTTTTTGTTTTTAACTGTGTGTGTTTGGCAGTGGCTCCTAGTGTAGGTGGGCCAGTAATAAAACCAATATTCATTAAACACTCACTATGTATATTCATGTACATTATCCCATTGAAGCCTACGAAGTCACAGAAAGAAAGAACACAGCTTTGGTAAAAAGGACTAGGTGGACACCAACACAAACACACATTTTAAAGGTTGGAGCCAATTTTTAAAAATTCAGTGATATCCTGGTGTCATTCATCTAAAAGCCGGCAGGGGGAGATGAGAGGAAGTCCCTGTGTGCACCATACTTTTTGGTCTTTAATAACTTCCCTAAGAATCTGAGGTATGTGACTATCCATGCATTTAGGTTTTAGTGAAAAGGATTCTTGGCAAAGAATTCTAGTATTGCAAACATTCACCATACAAGCACTGTTTGCTAAAATCAATTATAGTAGCATATTTTAAATTATCCGTCTCAAAATGCTTTAGTTAAACTACTTCTGTAACTGTCCCAATTGGAATATTTCAAGAGCACAAAAATTCTATTTTTAGAAAAAGGGAAGAGAATCGCAGCAACATGCTTTGGTGAATGTGACATCCATATTTTAAGAAGCATGAAGAGAAGAAAGAAAACTCAGAACCTGTGAGTCTAACAGGCTTAAAGGCAAAAGGCTGAAGTCACTGATTAAGGGCAAAAGAATAGAAAGTCTGGACAGGTGCAATCTAACCAGGTGCACTTACGATGGAAACCGTGTTTAAGCCATCCTCTTCCCTAAATTAATGACACAGGAGGCTGGGGATGGGGGAATGAGTAGTTTGTCCTACAGAGAGCACAAAGACTCCAGCTGTCTGAAATAAGTTAGCACCAGGAGGAAACATTCACTGAGCACAGTATCCGCTCAACATAGAGGCAGACAAAAGCCAAGTCCAAAGACAGCTCTGCACCCGACGGAGTTGGCAACAGACACAGGCCAACAGGTAGAGAGCAGCAAACCAGCTGCCTTTGTGCGGTGTGGTGTTTGATTTCGGTTTGTTGCTTTGTTGTGTTTAGCCCTCCCCAACTTAATCCTGAAACAACTCTTGCTTCAGAACTGCTCTGTCTTCCCATGGGGTAAAAGCTCGGCCAGCTCTGCTCCAGTCCTGTGCCCGTCCCACCTGTCCTGGTGTCTCTCCGCTCTGGGTTCACACCCACGAGTTCCAGCGGGTGCAAGGTCACCACACTGAAGACTCCGGAGGGTGGGACCCAGTTTCACAGAACTTTGAAAATCCAGCGGAGGAGGGGTTAAGGTTCTCAAACGAGTAACTCATGGGGCTTGGACTCCACTGGTGGGTAAGTTGCAGGGGGCAGAGACTGGTTTACTGCTGACTGCAGGGCCTGGGGCGTTGGCCGCACACCCCTGCAGGCGCTCCCTTTCTGGTTCTTTCTTTCTTTC